TCCCTGAAAGTACATTTCCTTTGCTTTTAAGGAACACGACTAAATATACAGCACAACCTAGCGCAGAGGATCCCGGTTTGTCTTTTGTCCGTGATTGTGTTCATGAGCTTCAGGTTTGTCTAATTTTCTTCTCCTCACTTTGTTCGTACGCATTGGATGAACGGCGTCTGGAGGTGTTTTCGGCAAAGCGGCCATTCAGTCCTTGACGAGTCTGTAAACGTGATACTGTGCTCCGTGGTTGCTTGTAGACACCTCAAACACGAACGCAATGCAAAGCAAAGTCTCTTGTGTGTCTCTGTTTGTGACAACCTGAGGAAGAGAAAAACACATCAGGGAAAAGTGTAATAGAACAGTAGAATAGTAGAATCACGCTAACTTCCAAGAAAGCTTGGCATAGCACAGTAAACATTTATGTTGGATGAGCATAATGACATAAGCTTGGAAATACAGTATAATTGTAAAAATATCCCCCATTTTTTTGTAAACTTTTACATTGTAAACTATTTAGGTGTTTAAAATCACGTCATTTCCAAAAATGCTTTAATTTATCCTATAGTCTTTAAAATGGGACAAACATCAATATATAAATAGATTTCATGTCTTTACTGTCACTTTTTATCAATTTAATTCACCCTTGTTGAATAAAAGTATTAATTTCTTAACCCTCATAATGCATTCAGGTCCGTTTTGACCCAGAAGCAGAGCCGGACAGTAACTAAGTACATTTACTTGAGTATTGTACTTAAGTACACTTTTTGAGTATCTGTACTTTACTTGAGTATTATTTTTTCTGGGAACTTATGACTTTAACTTCACTACATTCGAAAGACAAATATTGTAAAAAAAAATAGGCATTAGTCAATGATGAAATTCCTCTGTTGAAATTCTTTAAACAGCAATTAGTTTTCCCCATTATTCTGATTCAACACCCTTTGGGGTGTTTGGCCAGATCACACTTATGAATTGAAAGAGGTCCAATCTTAAATCCTTACTTTGCCCTGTTTTCTCATTCTCTTACCTGCAGTATAGTGAAGTTCTCCAGGACACTGTTCATCATGTATTTCTCTGGCAGGTGCTTGAGTTTATGGATGAAGTTGATCATGTATTCACACATGGGTGAGCGATGGATCCGGTAAACGTACCTCCCACCCTCCACACGCGCATACTCTGTCTAGGGGTCAAAAAGTCAAAGTATAGATGATGCTTTGAAACCACTTTTGTCAGTACAGACCGACACAGCTATGAATAGCTATGAATATATTGTGACCTCACCTCGACTTTCTCTACCACCTGCTTCCCAAAAGAACAGACTTTAGTGGAGACAGTGATGGTCATGTTTTCAGCGCTGCTGTACTGACTACTGACCCCATAGAATGAGCCTGCGCCATCCTGAACATTACTGCTGTTCAGATCAGCCTGAAACACATTACAGAAGAGAATCTGTTTGAAAATGCCTCACATAGACCAACACAGTTATCCTGAAGACCTTGACTGAGAAAACTTTCATTTTTATGGGGCCTTTGTGAATTGATAGTAATTTTCAAACACATAACATTTACTGGGCTTTCAGGGCACAACAGTATCAATTATGACAGTACAGATCAACATGCATTTGTTAAAACCCACCCAGAATTTGACCAGAAAGAAGGCGTTCCGTGGGCCTTTCTCATACAGCTCCTTCAGCCCTCCCTTCTTCTCTGGAAACTTGTCGTAGATCTGACGGATGTCCACGGCCTCCAGGAGAGGATCTGTGTATGAGGGGTTTGTCTGGGCGATGTGGACAAACAGGTGCTTGCTGTACTGTGGATTAACAGGTGAAGAGGTGACCTTTAATGCACTGCATGAAATCTCGCCATTCCTGAAACATATTATGTTTGTTTTCGTCTGTGACAGTATTGTTATTGTTAGCTAAAACTATTGAAAATCATTTTCAGTAACCGAAAGCAGAAATAAAAAATGAAATATAAAAACTAGATTAAAAACATAAAGTGAAACTTAAATGAAAATTAGAAATGTTGCTCTGGCAGCTAAATAAAATAAATAAGTTGAAGCTGAAGTACTAAATCTACTGAAACTGAAAAAAAAGCTAAATATAATATAAAAAGCAAAACCTCATGAAAATCACCACATAAAGTACATGAACAAACTAAAATCTAAATAAAAACATGAAAATATAAAAATAAAAGCTAAAATATTAATAAATACTATAATAGTATATAAACTAGACAGATAAAGTTTGAAGATAAACTTTGACGTTGGCTTGACAAAGCCTTGTCTGAAAGTCACAGGATGTTTCTAGCATATTTCACCATGTTGCTACATGATTTAGGTTGTTGCTAAGATGTTTATAGTATGTTTTATGCTGCTAGCATGTTTTTTGCACACTGCTCCCTTATGAAAATACACCATGGTTCCCTTTCAGTCGGTCACTCCGAGTCACATCGAGACAAGCTTTAGGACCTCAGACCAGCTCTTTGTCTGTTACGGAGGCCGGGAGAAGGGGAAGGCTGTCTCTAAGCAGAGGATGGCCCACTGGATTGTGGATGCCATCACCCTGGCTTATCAGGCACAGGGTGTGCCCTGCCCGCTCAGGTTGCAAGCTCACTCTACTAGGAGTGTTGCATCCTCTGAATTATAAATCCTGTGAATATCTGCTGGTTAAGTCTACGGAAGATAGATATTCAAACAAGTGAATAACTATGTTTGACTGTTCCAATATGGCGGATGGCTTATGTATGGTGGCCCTTAGGGACAGCTGCTAATAAGGCAACTCTCTCTCTCGCTCTCTCTCTTATATATATATATATATATATATATATATAGCGTTTTACTACAAATAAAACCAAAAACATGAGATATTGTAGTTAAACCATGGTAACCACAAATTAACCATGGTTTTAGCATATTTCTAGCATGTTTTAGCATGCTAAAAAATTTTTTGTGTGTGTATGCATTAACTCAATATGTAATGTATCCATATGAAGAATTATACATGAATTATAAATCCTGTGAATATCTGCTGGTTAAGTCTACGGAAGATAGATATTCAATTGTAACACTCCAAAGAGAAAGGAAAACTTGAAATCGCATTATATGACCCCTTTAAAGAAACCATCCTGGCAAACACTTAGCAACGCTCTAGAAATCACCAAAACACCTTAACTACACTAACATGACAAAAACCTACTCACGAATTAGATCGTTAAAAAAATATAATATTGAAGTTTTTAAAGACTATCTTAAAATAGTTAATTGGAATGATAGTCAACATATCTCAATAGTTGATGATGTTTGGAAAAATTTTTAAGTTTTATTTCTTAAAGTAGTGGACAAAATTGCGAAGGAGGCAAAACGTAATTTTATTAAGAAACAAATTCAAGAAAACAAAGAAGATCCTAAATCTCTGTGGAAGGTGTTAAATAGGTTCAATTCAATTGGTAAATCGGAATTTACTGTATCAAAAGTAGGTCTAGATATTGATGGCAAGATAGAATTTGATAAAAATAAAGTTGCTAATAAATTTATTTCATTATTTTCATTAATTGCTAATAGTCTAGTTGATAAACTTCCTCTGTCCAAACGAAATTATGGGATTGATTTTGTTAAGAGATTTTACTTAAAACAAGGGGTGTTGCCAAATAGTTTTTCTTTTGCTAAAGTTAGTGTAAATCAAATTACTAAAATGCAAGATGAACTTCAAGTGTCTAAGTTAACTGGGCTGGACGATATTCCAGCTAGATTCTTAAGAGATGCTGCAGATATTACAGCTCCAACTATTACATTTATTGTTAATCTCTCCTTGGAAAATGCTATATTTCCATGATCCATCTGATATGAAGTTAGCTAAAATTATTCCGTTATTTAAAAAAGGTAACAGATATGATCCTGGAAACTATCGTCCAATCTCCATTCTTAATGTGGCCTCAAATTTTTTTAGAAAGAATTGTGTATAAACAGATGTATGAGCATTCAATAATCATTCAATAAGTTAAGTGTCATGGGTTTTTCAAGTAAAGTGATAGTCTGGTTGAATTCATATTTAACTGGGAAAGTTTAGAGATTAGATATTGATGGAGTTCTTTCTGAGTCCCTCAGGGAAGTGTTTTAGGCCCTCTTTTGTTTCTTTTATATATTAATGACATGCAGGGTTGGTTGAATAAGTTACAAAAATCTCAGAATAAATTGATACGGTTAGTTTCAGGGTTTAGTCGTTTTACACATGTGGAGGTTTCCCATTTTAAGTGTCTTGATTGGTTACCTATAGAAAGCAGACTAGAACATATTAAATAAAAAATGGTACATAAGATTATCAATAACAGAGCTCCTTCATATTTTAATGTATTTTTTCCTAGGGTAAATGAGCAACATTGTTATAAAACTAGGCAAAGCCTTATGGATATTACATTATGTCATTTTAAAACTATGTATGGTCGTAGGTCTTTTAGGATTATCAATAATAGAGCTCCTTCATATTTTAATGTATTTTTTTCTAAGGTAAATGAGCAACATTGTTATAAAACTAGGCAAAGTCTTATGGATATTACATTATGTCGTTTTAAAACTATGTATGCTCGTAGGTCTTTTAGATATTCTGGGGCACTTCTGTGGAATAAGTTACCTCTGGACATTAAAGGTATCTCGAATATGGTTAGTTTTAGTTGAAAAGCTAAAAGTTGGTTCTTAAGTAGGTTGTTTTGTTGATGAATTTGTATTACGTACGTGGTTATTTGTGACTGTAAATTTTTGTAAATGTGGAATTTTATTGTAATTTTTTTATTTATTATGCAATGCCAGTGTACCTGTTACCGGGAGTGAAGTTTGTGCTTTACATCAAGGACCACAATGGAAATAAGTTTTGTTTTAAACTTTATTGTGTTATCCTTGACGAATAGAGTGTATTCACTACTTTTTTGTCAAATAAACAAACAACGCAGAAACCACATTGCACCCTAACACCTTAGCATTAGCATAATGCTAATATAATCTTCTCAGCAGAAGTGTGACTCACAGTGTCAGGGTCTCTCTGGAGCTCCATGAAGGCCGAGTACTCCAGCATGCGGAGTTTAGAGGAGGCAATGGTCCGGTCCTGCCACACAGGCATGGCAGTGGCGCTCGGGGGGTGCGGGGTGGGTAACTGCTCATAACCTGTCGAGGAAACATGCTGGTTTAGGCCGGGTGGTCAGTCTAAGTTTACTAGGGTTGAAATAATCCCTGCACTGCTCTTACTTGATATGGGTGTAGGCAGTGGAGGCTGAAGGGTGGAGTACGGACTCGGTGCAAAGGGTTTGATGCTAGAAAAACACAGGGACAGATCAGCAGGATCTCACAAGAACACTGAGATTAGATAAGATGTCAGAAATACTCACTCCTGAGAAGGTTCAGGCTGTCCTGGGATGGGGCCGGGCCAAAACTAGACAACAAAACAGAGGACAATATGAGTTTGAAGGTGATGGTAGAGAACTGGTCAAAAGAGGGTGACTTAAACTCTGAATTTACCCGGGCTGGAGGGGGGTAGGGGTGCTGAGGAAGAGGAGGCAGATGACTCTTCATCACACTTGCAGAAACGATCTGAGCGGAGGAAAGAGCGGCCATGTTCTGCAGGGCTTTGTCTTTGGAAGCCTGATCCTGTGAAAGACACAAGAAAAGCTCATTAGAAGCACAGTTTCACTGGGGGAATGAACTATTTGGAACAAAACCTGGATTGAAAGAAACTATCTCGCTTGAATTTCTCTATTGGAATTTTTAAAATAATAATTAGTTTAAATAATATTAAATAATATGCAATCTTTATGAAAAGCAGACTTCAAAGATATATACACTACCATCCAAAAATTTAAGGATCCGTAATTTTTTTTTTTTTTAAGAAAATCAATACTTCTGTTAATATTAATAACAGTAAAGACTTTGACATTGATACAAAAAAACTTTTTTTTTAAAAATCCTGTTCTTTTAAACTTTCTATTCATCAAAGTAACCTTAAAAAAACATGTATGTAAGTTTCCGCAAAAATATTAAACAGCACGAGTGTTTTCAACATTGATAATAATAAATAAATAATAAAAATATAACAATAAAATCATATTAGAATGATTTCTTAAGGCTCATGACATTGATACAAAAAAACTTTTTTTTTTAAAAATCCTGTTCTTTTAAACTTTCTATTCATCAAAGTAACCTTAAAAAAACATGTATCACAGTTTCCGCAAAAATATTAAACAGCACGAGTGTTTTCAACATTGATAATAATAAATAAATAATAAAAATATAACAATAAAATCATATTAGAATGATTTCTTAAGGCTCATGTGACACTGAAGACTGGAGGAATTCAGCTTTGCATCACAGGAATAAATTACAATAAATATATTCAAATATAAAACATTATTTGTAACAATATTTCAAAATATTACTGTTTTTACTGTATATTTGATCAAATAAATGCAGCCTTAGTGAGAAGTCTTCTTTCAAAAACAAAAAAACTAAAAATCGTACTGATCGTAAACTTTTGAACAATAGTGCAATTTTAGTGCAGGATCTGCATGCTAAACTAAATGGTTTAGACAAACATGCAAAAATCATGCTACAAAGGGCACATGTGATACGTGATGCATGATATTGTGCTTGCATTTGAATCCAGCCACTCAAACAAAATACAATATTACATAGAAAACCTGAACAGCATAAACGATCCATGTTTGAATTTAGTATACAAAGTGACACAGTTATTATAGAACAGACTAACAAAAGAACACTGATATAATAAAATCTTACAATTAATGACACCGAATAAAACACTTTCAAAATACTTTGTTCCGACTTTGCAGTGTTCCGAGTTTGCAGCTATAACAAACAAATATTTAAGGCAAAACTGAAACAGAGAACAGCAGTAGTGGTTGCTAAATTCATCCAAACTGTGAGACGGGTGACATTGGCAGCCAAAGCACTGAATTGCGCAAACTGAAGCACAAATCAATGAAAGCTGAGCGTCTGCAGGTGCGATAAAGCTCTGCGGGCAAAGCAGACTACAAAACATTTCACTTACCAAGTTCATGGCCTAAAATTGAAAGGAAGAGAAACTGTTAAAAGCGCTGATGAGACACATAGATTAGATGACACACTGATCAAATGACTCTGAGCAGCACAGCTGGACCGAGAGGTCAGGGTTTTCTCTTCTGATGCTGTATGTTCAGATTTCACAGAGTAGTGTTCTCTTCAGCTACTCCACTGAAAAATAACTCCGAATCACTGCCTATTTCATTTACTGCTGGAAAAAGTAAACCGATGACCTCTTTATAAGAACAATCATAGTTCTCCATTTCACATTAAGGAAGTCATGTGTTTACTTCCTCCCTCACCAGACTCGGCTCACAAAGCCGAATCATTAACCATGCAAAAATATCAACATTAACAAACTGGTATGCTTATGTGTATTATACATATTAATCTATGACATATGGATGCTAATAAAACAATGATAATTGTTGTTCTTATTAAATTGCAGCGTAAATAAATAAATAAACAAATAAATAAATGGTTAGTGGGGGGAAATTATTGGACATTATATTTATACATTTTTTTTTACATTATAAAGTGGTTAAAATTAGAATCTGAACACAAATTGGAATTATACAGGTATCATCTCCTTAAATTAATGAATGGATAAACAAACAATAAATAAATAAATAAATAGTGAGGGGAAAATAATTAAAGAAAAACAAGACAACAACCAGGTAGTTTTTTTTGTTTGTTTGTTTTTAGGTGGAAAATGACTTACAAATTAGAATTATGCAGAAGCAGAAGCGATTAATCAAAACAATACAGTGTACTACTACTCCAAATTTAAATAAAACAATGTTTCACTGAAGTGAACATATAGATCACAGAAAGATGTTAAAGATGAGTTATGGAGGTCAAGATAAGTTAGAATGGGAGAAATAAATAGACAAACAAATAAATAGTTCAGTCAGATACACACAATGGCTTATGTGTAGCGACACAACAGAAAGCAATGCAATATTCAGTCAATCACCAGAGGGCGCCATTACTTTACAAGCATGCTGCTCAGTTCCATCACAATGTGTTTTAATGAATGCCTGTACACTACACACATTATGGTACATGTAAGCTAAACATCACAAGTCATTATAACAGTTAGAGTGTGCCACAGATAGGAAGGGTTGGTGAGGTTAGGAAAAGCCCAGTTTGCAGCTCAGGTCACAGCAGAGCTGACTGCAGTGAGCCGCATACCTTCAGCTTAGACTGAATCTCGCGAGACTTTCTCCGCGCAAGAACCTGCAGATGGCTAGACACCTGCAGGAGGGACGTCAGAGGAGGGAGAAAGGAAGGAAGGGAGACAAGACAAGAAAAGAGAAGAGAGACATTGAAAAGAAGCCACTAGGTGGCAGCACAGCCATACCTTAATGCCAGTTTGATATTCCCGCAGTTTCTTCCTGGCTAACACCTGTATGTGACTAGACACCTGAGGCAAAACAGGGCCACAGACATTTGATATCATCCAACACATATGTATATATGTCATAACAACAAATCTGTCAAAATAACCAAGTGACCAATAAACCTTAGAGTACTGACTTTTTAATTACAGCATTGCAGTTTCAGTGTTCACAAGAAAAACAGCACATTTGCACTGCTTCAGAATTAGCAAAAAATAGATATATTAGACCTCTGTAACACAGATCTGACACTTTTTATGATAAGTTTCTATTTATATTGTAATATTAAAGGTGCATTAAGTACTGTAGTTGTTTCCAGTTTTACACCTAAAGAATTGAACAGTGTTTTGCCAGATATGTTTACATTTATAATAATACGTAATAATGTGTGATAAATGCGCCGGTGAATGGGATAATCTCATAATAGCATCAATAACTGAACATGTGCTTTTGCGCATTGCAGCATCCACACCAATAGGTGTCAGTATAAAGTTCACTGGTATTTCAACAAGTGAAACAAAAACACTTAAAAAATGAACAAGCCAAAAAAAAAAAAAAAAAATTAATGACTAAATACAATTACAAGCATCATAATCTAATTATACCAGAATATAGTGATAATCTTTGACTTCGATATGACTTCTGTTGTACCCATTCAAACAAGTGCTAACAGAAACTGTCACATTACCTGTTTTCGAGTGCGGGTTTTTCCAGTCCGCAATTTTATGTATCTTGCTATCAGCTCATTACGACCTGGAAAGGCATCAATGAGAAACACAAGATTAGTAAAAACGCAAAAATACGCAGTGCTGACGAACACATGTAGCTGATTAATAAAGGACTGAGCGGAGTGTCAGTAATATTAATAATAATGGTGAAACTGAAAATAGATATGACATATTATAAAAGTTGGGTTAGCATTTATAACACTTAGGACTTCATATCTTAAAATAAAGTTAAATTCATTATATAAAACATGTTTAAGTTGTTTTTCTGCGGCAGTAGCTCAACTTGTAGAGCGCTGCATCACGCCGCAAGGTCGTGGGTTCGATTCCCAGGGAAAACATGGACTGTTACAATGTTTCATTAATGGACAAAAGTGACTCCCAAAGGAATAAATATTCATAATTTTCTCTTCACATGTAATTTAACACTTTTAAATAAAGCTGGTGGGAACGAAGACTCATATACACAGAAAAGCACACAAATGCTGTAATGCCTCCACCAGCAATATCACAGTAGGGTGTAAAGCCTCCTATGAGACCATTAGTTTATTAATAGACCATTGAAAGACAAGGCTTGTGACAGAAGAGTCAGGCGATATGGGTGGTGACTTGGCCAAAAAAAAAAATAGGGCCACCATGTGTCAGGGCGTTGACCAATCAAGCTGTTCTGAGTGGACAAATGTTTTCATACAAAGAGGAATTTATTAAATGAGTACAATAATAAATCGGTTTGTATAATGCCATTAGAATGATGATATTAGAAAAAGGGACGGGAATCAAGGAAGACGTGAGAGGAGATAAACTGAGGTCAAGAGATAAAAAGGATTTCATCACAGTTTATAAAGGGTTGACCTTGTCAACAGCTGTGCAAAGTTTCAACTGTGAATCTTTCTTGACACCCCCACCCTCCCAAAGGCATCCCACTCACTGACAGTCGGACCACCTGAACCCAATACCGGAAACCCTGCTCCCTACAACATGCCAGCAAACAACATGTTTGGACATTGTAAATGTGCAAACAAATGAAGAGATCTGTGATAAGACAACCCAAATATAAATAAAGCACCATGTTTCCTACATGGTGCAGACGATGCCAGAATTCAGGAAAAAGATCCACTTCCTGTCATGATAGATTCTTTGTGGTTATAGACTGATATATTAGCTAGGTGATTAATAGACCAATTTTTGACAGAGCCAATGGTGTTAGGTTGGCCAAGTCGGGTTACTAAAACAAATATATAGGTTGTCCAGACAACCATATAGACAGCTATATATATGTTACGTATCCGGTCCATGAACTTCCGTCTGCTAGCCATCAGAGGTCACCCTTTCCATTTTCATATATAAAACCCATATACTGTAGGTTGTCCAGTTGTTCTTTGGGCATTTATATTTCACCTAATATAAATATGCGGTTACACTTTATTTCGATAGTCCACTTTAGACATTCTATTAACTATAAGTAACTTTGTAACTACATGTCAACTACATGTCAACTAATTCTCATTAATTTGCAACTACATGTCTACTAACTCTCAGAGTAGACTGTTAGGGTAGGT